TGCTTTTGACAGCTGGAACTGCGGCAGGAGGAAGGCAGTCTTCCAGCAGCGAGGTGTCTAATACTGGAACAGCTGGTACCAAATTATTGCAGATTTAAAAGCAAATAAGACACGGGCAGCCCCCAGCTGGCATTTCTGTGGAGGAAGATCTGTGCAGAAAGGGCAAGGCCATTTCCCTCTAAGGAAACAGGGAGGATGTGGGGCTTTGACTCCTGTTCTGCTTCTCCCAATCCCAGTATTAGCTGCTGTGCACAGTGGCCTGCTCTGGGCCAGTTGCTTCGGATACACTGTCTTTACCCCTCACTGTCCTGCAGAGAAGGGGCCCCTGTTGACAGAAGAAAAATGAGGCACAGAGAGACCAAGAGATAGCTGGTGAGGAGTGCTGGACCTGACACCCAACACTGATCCCAGAGTCCACGCTCTCTGTGGCCTTTGAGGCAGGGAGGAGGAGAGCTCCTTGGGAGGGAAGTGAGGGGCATTCAGCGTTTTCTCTGAATTCTCTCCCGACTCAGTTCCAGCCGTCACCCTCTGCTTGTAGGCAGAGTTGGGCTGGCGTCACAGCATCCCTCACAAGCCAACTGGTGCTGGCCTGTCGTCCACCCAGACTAGACAGAGAATAAGCAGCCACCCTTCAGTATTCATCCCAACAGGTCTCAGAGGTCAGTGTGACAGTCACATGGTTCCTAAGGGACTGTCGGTCTAGGAATCGTTAGAACACCTCACTCACCCACCCGCAGTGCCCCCATCTCTCCCACACTGGCCTCGGCTGCCCCTGTCTGTGCTCCTGGAATATTTGCACTGGCCTAGCCCACTCCAGGCCAGACTCATTAGGAACTCAAGATTCTCATAAAGAAAGTTGTTTCCAAAGGTGTCTTATCTCTCTGTTACATCTGGGGGGCGGAGGTGGGGACTGGGGCTGGGGGGTGGGGACATCCTCTAGGGCCAGGGTTGGTGAATAAGGGAAGGGAGAATATTGGGGAAACTGGACTCATGAGACGTTAAACACATCGCACGAATCTAAAGAAAAGATCAGTGGTAACATCAATGATTGTGATTTGTGGCCTGACAAGTCCATTCAACAGATGGGAAAGACAGGGCCAAATGGCTGTGCCTAGAGTAGACAGAGCCCAGAAATAGCTCCTGGGCAGGCCCTTTGTAAAGAAGGGGCCCTGGAGGACAGGGCAGACGTGAGGCCCGGTATCCTGGAGGGATGGCTGGGGACTTCTCGCACAGCCCCTGCACTCTGGGAAGTCAGGGCTGTCTGTGTGGAAGGCACTCCTGCTCCTGGAACATGGGTTTGACCCGGGCCCACATCCTGGAAGCAATATTAAATGGTGGGCCCCCGAGATGAAATGTAGGGTGAACAGCAACTGAAATGCTGGGCTGAAGAAAATCCCTCTTGTGCTCCCGTGGGGTAGCCTTGCTTCCCAGCCCACCCAGAGCTGGGTGGCGGGGGGACAGTCTTATGTCATGTACTCACTGTAGGTATGGAAGAAATGGTCCATTTTCTACAAAGCCTGGATACTACATTTCCCTCCAGGTGGGACCAGATGCCTGAGAACAGAGGGGACAGAGATGCTCGAGGATCCAGGTACCTCACGGTAGGCGGAGACACTGTCCTTCACTGTCTGTCAAAACTGTCCAGCTCACCAGGTACTGTATTTCAAGACTGTGACCGACACCCATGCAGAGTTCTGGCCCTTATTTAATGTGCCCCCCAAACATGTCGCTGGCCCTCCTGGCCTCAGTTGTTCCATCTGTATTGTGGATGAAGAGGGAGGTTTCACTGCGACTTAGGAAGCCTCACTGTCAAATATTTTGTGTCCTCTGGTATGGTATTTTTACAAGGTCAAGGAAGAGTCTTGTAGAAATCCTGGACTAAATTGCAATCTGGAAAGTGGTGCATTCTCTTTGAAATCAAGACGGAGAAATATTCTGGATGCCGTCTATGAAGTAAAAAGCAAATGGCCTGTCTCCTAAGACTGCAGCCAAGCCAGTTCTGGTCCAGGCTGCAACTTGCACCTCCCTGCAGGCAAAACAGCTGGGAGTGGAAGGCTGTAGAAACCCCTCAAGGAGAGCCGGAGTTGCGTATGTGATTTGTGGTGTGGTCTCAAGGGATGCTTTCCTACTCTGAGCCTTGAAATCTTGCACAGCAAGTCTCTGGGGACAAGGTATTTGATGGTGGGATCTGATGGGGAAGGGGGGCTGTGGACCTGGGGAAGTAATTAAAGGTTGTCTGATGTACTCCAACACACCGGACACAAGCTCACCTCCCAGGCAGGCCCTTTGAAATGGCTCCTCTCTGCTGGCTGAAGGAGACCCTCTCCTCAGGTTCTGTGTCAGATGCAGCTGGTGCTGTTGCCAGAAATCCCAGGACCACGGCTCCCTCTGTCCCCACTTTCTCACCCCACAAGAAACCAAGACTTGAGGTTTTCTAACAATTCAGATTCTTCGTTTTTTTATTTACGAGGAATGTATATTGTTAGTCACTTTTACCAAGGGACACATAAAAGTGGAATCATAAAACTGACTGCACCCATCGTGGCACCCAAGTCTATGCTTGGGCTCTTCTCCACTCTGCTCTTGGAGTTACTACCAAGACCCCAAAAACCAGCAAAATCCCTTCAACATGAGTAAAGGAAATAGCTTGAAGCAGTGACAGTTTTTACAAGTGATTATTCAAAAAATGCACAATAGCCACAGTTCAGACAAATCAACTACAAAAATCATTAAAAAAAAGAGAAAAAGGTCTTGCTTACTAAAAACAAAGATTGGACGAAAAAGTGAAGAGAACACCCTAGGTGGGAGTTCTGCCTCTGTCCCATGTGACTCAGAGGGGCAGGGGTGGGCATGGCCACGCAGGGCCTGACACAGGCTTGTTTCCAGCAGGTGCATGGGTACAGGGAAGCCTTGCTCTCTCCCTACAACAGAAGCTGAATACTGTAAGTTCGCTAGACAAGATCTTGGGGCAAGCAGGGGCTCTGACCTTTTGAGAGTGCCCGTGCTCCCGGTTAAAGAGGCGGCAGCCGAGTCTGAGCTCTGCAGGAGATTCCAATGCCCAAGACGGTCCACAGGGGCCAAACATGCCGAGGAATCAGGAGGTGATACCCTCTAGCCTGAAGAACTAGGGAGATGAGCTGCCTCCTGGGGCAGGAGGCAGGAGGCAGTCCTGCCATCAGGAGATTCACAGGACTGGGGGGCAGGCCCCTTCCACCTGAGAAGACAGGCACGGTTTCCCTCCTAGTTCCTTGGGACACTTTGGTGTTCTGCAAAGATATCCTTAGTGTATTTAAAGACTTACGTTTTCTCACTTTGGTCAAAAGTACAGAGAGAACGGTAGCCACAAGAATGAATGTGTGGATGCGGATGTATCCACTGCTGAAGAGGTGGGACAGACAGGGGGTTAACTAGTCAGTAGCTTGCGGGGTGTGGGGGAGGATGGAAAATTGTCTGAGGGCACTGGCTCGGCATGTTCACAGATATGATAGAGGAATCATCCAGAGGAAAGAGGCAGGCTCAGGCCTGGAGGTGGCAGGGCCTCTGTACTTTTCTTGAGCATGTCTGGCTGGCTTAGGTCCAGAGCCAGACTCCACAGAGAGTCGAAGGCTCTGACAAAAGTCCACAGTACCTTGAGGTGTAGACCAAGGGTCCCATCTCAGAGTTTTAGGACAACCTGCCCTTTCACCTAGAACTGCTGTTGAATGTCAACCCTATAAAGATTCCCTAGCAGGCAGGGAGACCTCAGGTCTGTGACCCGCCCACAAACAACCTTCTGAAGCTATCAGGCAAAACAAAAAAGCACTTGGTTAATCAATGGAAAATGACATCTGACTTTTAAATCTGTGCAATTACAGGTTATCTGTAGCTGTTAGGAATCGACATCTACAGCATTCTTTTTAAAACTCCCAATTTACCCATGACTTAATCACCTTCCCTTGGCGTCACTGTCATTAAGAAACATGCTGGGTGGAACAGTGATCTGACCCAACATGATTTCTCGCCCTTATTCCTGCTATAGGTCCTGATTATCTGAGCAGAGATGATTTACCCTCTAGGGTTTATCCTGGGTTTTTTCCCACCAGTTGGTTGGGGTCTGTGGTGCTACTTCCCCCACTGGTAGGACAAATTCCTAGCAGTGCTTTAGGAGGGACAGCTGGGAGCTTGGCAACACTCCAAGATATGTCTGCCTCCCCAGGAAGTGGTCTGTGTCACCCCTGCAGGGCAGACTTCCCCTATTGCTCGGGCAATTCCTTTAGCCCTGTCTGGCTGGTCCCAGCCTTCCCTGCCACCTGCGGAAGGGATGCACTTCCCAAGCAGCAGCCTTCCCTGCCTCTTGGCCCCTCCCAAGCCGGCTAAAGTGCACAATCCGAAGATCACTGAGCATTATCTGCAGATTCTGATCACGCTAGGCACTGGTAACAAGCTGACTGCCGTTTTAAACTCCTGCCCCTATAAGTGTTTCACCAAATTCTTTAAGTTCACCTCTTTACCCTCTTGGAGGAAAAGGTAAAACTTAATGATCATGAAGAAGGAATCTCAGAAGGGGAGGAGGGGAAGCAGAGGGGCCTCAGAATCCACAAATGAAAAATCATCAGTCCCTGGCATGATTCACACTGTTGACTGGAACCTAATCGAGACCACAAGAGGTCAGTGTAGCAAACACAAAGGGAACGGAAACAGGAAAAAACGAAGGAAGAGGAAGTGCGCGCAAAGAAGGAACAACCCCTTCTCTCCACCCTTAGGCTTCTACCCCTCTGCTTGGGAAAAGAGAAGGGGGATGGCTAGACCTGGCCTAGCAATCCCAAAGAAAGCAGGAAAAACAGGAACCCAAAGTTCTCAGTGTTACCAATTGTGGTTCCATTTAAAAACAAAAACAAAACAAAACAAAACAAAAAGAAAACCAAAAACCAAAAACCCTTGACCAATGTGATGAGGAATGCTACGACCTCTCTCTCTCACCCCAGTGTGAAACACCCTGACCCCTCGGTCACCGGGTCACACTACACTGGGCAGAGGTAAAAATTCTTTTCCTCCTGGGGTTTGCTTATCCAGTTCCCGTAGCCCATGTCCTTCAGACTCTTCTTGAAGTAGTTCTTGGCTATCTCGTAGTCTCGGGCAGCTTTCTTGGCTTCACCATAGGAGAGTCTAAGTAGATCTCTGCGGTACCGGAAGGAGCAGAGCTTCTTGAATAGAAGGAAGATGTTCTTTTTGGAGACCCGGGATAATTCATTCCGTGGCCTGGAGAAACGAAAGCACTCACTGTTCACCTGGGACGGAATAGGTGGAGACACTGGTGGGGAGGGGGGGTGTGGGTGCGTGTGGCAGCTTTTAAGCTCCGGTGTTTGGCAACATGACACCCCCTTGGGGCTCAGGCCAGGACGCCTGGCTCTGCTTCTGCTGTGCTCTCCCAGCTCCTTACCCATCCACGGTGCCTCTGGTCCCATCTAGGATCTCTAGGTCATAGCCATCAGCCAAACACCAGTTGACGCTTGTCTCCTTGGTCTTCCCGGATTGCCTCTTGGAATCATATACACTGACTCGGCCAACCTAGGAATTCCAGGAGCGATGGGAGAAAAATGGAAACCTTTCAAGAAAAAGCTTCTGAAGCAGGGACTCAAGACTCACAGGAGAGAGGGAGTTGTGGGGTCATGATCTTTCCCCCTTATCTAGGATTCTGTTTGGCTAAGACTCAGACGTACTAACTCGACCTCAATTCAAATGAATTCCAGACTAAAAGAAGGAAAGCCCTTGGCATTCAAGAGGAGGAAAGGGTAAGTTCTGGGGAAACGAACTAAGGCTCCCCTTGCCCACACTGTACGTTTTTGCTCTGCTGATAGGATTACATGAAAAGGAGAAAACGTCAAGGGAAAAATGGATGGGGTTATAGCACCTTGGGGTGGTTGACAATGAAGGGATGTCGGAGTCCATCCTCAAATGCACTCCCATCTCTTGTCACACGACAGCAAATGGCACGGGTCAGATGCCCTTGGCTGAAAAGGTAACCTGGGTACGAAAAAGAAACGCACACACCTGTGTTTGCACCAAATGCTGTGAAGTGGCAGAGGCATGTGGGGAGTGTGAAGGTACAGACAGAGTTGTCAAGACAGACAATCAACTCCCTACTTAGGAAGCACCTTCTAACTGTGGCTGCCCAGGATATACAGGGATCATCAAACATTTAAGCACAATACATAAGGTTCCAGGTAAGGCCAAGGGCTGAGGAGAGCAAGGAAACTCAGACACTGCAGTTTTAAGCTGCTGTGTTTCTTTAACTCATCTTGAAAAGACTTGGCTGGCATGTTGTTACCTAGGCTCACTGCCTAAACCAATCTTCCCGTCACAGCAGACCAGATACTCAGAATCAATCACTAACCACTGCATCGAGCACACTTTGAAAAGGGGAGACATCATGTTAGCACCTGGCAACGAAGCTTGCGGTTTGCTGGGATTTGGGCACCAAAATGACAGTCCAGTTTCAGCTCTCAAGACAGGTCCTTACCCAGTGTGACGGATTTGAGATACACAGGCTGCAGGAAGTGGGTCAACAGCGCCCCCTGCAGGCCGAGCACGTTCCAACGCAGGATCTTGTCACTACAGGACATGGTTCGGAGTCTCTCCCCCAGCCGGATGCCATCCCACGTGGGCACAATGTCACTGGACTCCACTGGGATTGTGCCTTCTCCTGGATGAGAGACTTGGGTCAGACCCGAAGGGGCCCTTGGACCAAGCCCCTCCCTGGCGTGGTGTTGCTGCTTCTTAGACTCGGGCCAGAGGCTACTCACTCATTTGTTCTTCATATTATTTCATAGCACCTACTATGTGCTGGGCACTAGGCTTGGTGCTGGGCAACAATGGTGAGCAAAACCAAATAAGATCCTTACCTTCCTAGAACGTTTATGGGGGTGAGGGGTTAGAAAGGGAACGGAGCAGACACTAAACACGTTAAGTCAATACACATAAGAATTCTAGATGGTTCTGAGGGAGCTATGATGGAGGACAGCCAGGGGAACCTCCTGGGATAGGACTGTCAGGCGGGCTGAGACACGAAGGAGGAGAAGGAACAGC